TTGGGGGGGGGGGTAACAATTTCAAAATGTTAATTATTTTTACATTTCATTTAATATCATTTTTTTTTAAGTCTCCCCGCCCATGCAAGCGCACGCGTCTTCATATAAACACACATCAGGTGCGCCTACGTACAAAAACTATGATCGCGTTACACATGTTTGGTTTAGCCACGCATGCCACAGGGAGAGCAATAATTCTAGTATCAATATTTATGCGTATCTCTAAACTGATCACCTGTAGGGGCTTTTGAAGCGTTGTCTATGGACTTTTTGGGGTACTGAATTTTGTCACTGTTTCACAGACGAACATAGTTTTAACCTGGGCGTGTTGGGTATCTATTTACACGTTGTAACCTCATCCTTTATATTTTCTTTTAAAAATGGGTATTTATTGTGTTTTTGGGGCATTTAAAGGAGAACTATGGGGTCAGTGTTTTTCCCCATAGTTCTCCTTAGGGTAATGGGAGGACGCTAGTTTGTGTGCTCCCATTACCCTAAGCTCAGTATACCGCGAGCTGTAGCTCGCGGTATACTGAGCTTAGGGTAATGGGAGGACGCTAGTTTGTGTGCTCCCATTACCCTAAGCTCAGTATACCGCGAGCTGTAGCTCGCGGTATACTGAGCTTAGGGTAATGGGAGGACGCTAGTTTGTGTCCTCCCGTTACCCTAAGGAGAACTATGGGGAAAAGCCCTGACCCCATAGTTCTCCTTTAAAGCCTGTCCACCGTTGAAGCACTGCCCACTGCATTACATGGAGACAGTTAATCCCTTAATGACGAGGCCTTAAAAAGGAGAACTATGAGGTGAGTGGAAATCACTCATGTCATAGTTCTCCTTTTTAAGGCCTCGTCATTAAGGGATTAACTGTCTCCATATAATGCAGTGGGCAGTGCTTCAACGGTGGACAGGCTTTAAAGGAGAACTATGGGGTCAGGGCTTTTCCCCATAGTTCTCCTTAGGGTAACGGGAGGACACAAACTAGCGTCCTCCCGTCACCCTAGGCTCGCGGTATACTGAGACGCCGGAGCGGATCCCGACATCGATGTCGAGATCCGCCCAGCTGCGTGAGTGACAGCTGGCTCTGCCTATCTAGAGGCA